ACAGGTTGGACACAAAGTTACACGGAGGACATCAACCGTTACAAGGAAGACCCAAATAGTTACAGGGAAGACACGAGAGTTACACGGAGGACACCGACCGTTACAGGTTGGACACAAAGTTACGCGGAGGACATCAACCGTTACAAGGAAGACCCAAATAGTTACAGGGAAGACACGAGAGTTACACGGAGGACATCGACCTTACAGGTTGGACACAGAGTTACACGCTGGACATAAATCGTTACAAGGAAGACACAAATGGTTACAGGGGAGACACAGAGTTACAGGGAGGACGTGACGGGTTACTGTGGCTACAGGAGAGACAGTGCAAGCACAAGGAGGACTCTGTGCAATTAGAGAGGGCATTTGAGCTGATGGAAGTCATCATTGATGCTGGTGGTTAATAGGGAGGACACGAGAGGCTACCGGGAAGAGTCCAAATTACTCGTACGACATGGGCGGTAACATCCGAAGTTAGTGAATGCTAGCGCCTGCCATCTACAGGGTAGGCCAACCCGCCGAGCAGCTCTGTTAAGATGGTGGCCCGCCCGACCCCCTGTGCGCCAAAAGCGGCTCGGCGGTCCGGACGCCGCTTGCGCCGGAGGCGCTATCTCTCGGCCGGGTTTCGTATTATGCGTTGTCTGTCCGTACTGTAGACGCCAGTGCTGCTATCTATGGTGTGGTGGCCAATGTAGTAATCCTAAGTCCATAGTATGTGTTGTTTTGATTGTCTGTCCATGATCACGTTTTACTTTAGAAGTGATGATTTGTTTGACAGCAAATTTAGTGGTTTTTGATATTTGTTGTAGTTTGGCACATATCTGAAAAACTGATGATGATAGGTTTTCGAACCGACTGTCTGCTAACTAATGTTTCTGCATTCTGTTCCCAGTTACTAGAGTTTTGTTGAATCAGAGAAGATGTAAGTGAGGTTAACTACCATGGGCCTTTATTCAAGTATAAACAAAGAAATTTAATTACTTGAAGCGCCCTCCTTGCCATTAGTGTGTCCTGAGGTAATCAATGCATGTTTGATTGTTTTATGTACATAATGATTAGGTTCTGTTAATGCTTTTTACATTAATGAACTTAGATGCAGTGGTGCAGATGCAGATCAATTTTGTTTCTTTTTGTGTGATATGGTGTCTCCTGAAAGGTAAATAAAAAGCGGAATGGGCAAAAAATCAACCAAGAATTGATCAGCTAGTTTAATTTTGGATACAGTTAAAACTCAAAAGTTGGCAAGGTTTACTGCCCGCTGTCATAAATGAAATAGATAAGGTAGCAGACATTCCTATCTGTCATGTACTACAAATTAACAAAACTACTGACTATGTCATATCACATAATATTGACTTAAAATCAAAGTTCTTTTGATAAATTAAAAATAGCTTTCCTAGAACTACAAGATTTTTGAAGATTTAAACTGCTGTGAACAGAAAATTAAAAGACTGTCATAGAAGGAATGTTAAAAAACGGAATTAGAAACAAATGAAATAGAGATTGGCGGCTCAGGTTTACTGCCCGCTTTCATAATTAAAATAGGTAACTTTGCAGACATTCCTATCTGTCTGATACTGCAAATTAACAAAAGTACTGACTATGTAATATCACATGATGTTGACTTAAAATCAAAGTTCTTTTGATAACTTAAAAATAGCTTTTCCAAAAACAATTAGGAAACAACAGTGAATAGAAAATTAACAAAAGTATAAAATATCTTTAAATAAAATAATAAAAATGAGTTTGTAGAACTTCAAACTCCTATGCTGTTTGCTAAACATTAACAGAACTGTAAAATACAATATAAACTCATCAAAATAAGCTTGATAAACTGTGCCTGCTAGAATACATAAAATGATGGTTCTACTTCTTTCGGTTCGGTAATTTGAATTACTTTATCTCTTGTCACCGTTCTTTTGTCAGCTTTCTTAGGCCATGAGAATTTGGAATAGTTCTCGTGACTGATCATGACATTTAGCGTAACTTTGTCATTTATAATTTTTAATACTTTTCCTGAAATGCAAAGACAGAAAATCATTTATTACTTCCCTATCTGTAGTCCTGAATTAAAAGCAGAGTTAGCAAAAAATATTGGCACACTTACCTGGGTACAGTTGTCCACTGAAAGTAACACCTACCCAACTGCCTTTTTTTATTGGTTCAGGTCCACCTACTAAATCAGGAGTATCAACACTCTCTGCATTTTCTTCATTATTTTGGACTGATTCAGGGCGGCTGGTGTATTCCATAATACCAATGTGGAAATGGTGGCACTTAGTTCCAGGCATGCACTGGAAGCAGCTTAACTTATTAAAGAACAGCTGATTTGGTGTTTATCTGGACCAGGTTACTTGGTGAGTAAGCATTGTTCCTTTGAAGGTTCTTGAGTTTATACTTTGGTTGCACATAATCAGAATGTCTTCATTAGTTATTTCAAATATTCGAACATTTTCTAATTTTCTAGAACAGGCAACAAATTTCTCAAATGTGTCAATCTTTACTCCATGGTTGACTTGCCAATTGGCTTTTGACTTTACAGCTGCTCCAACACCATCCACAGGACCTTTCCCATGGCCTGCTTCCGTATAGTTCCATGTGAAACTAGTCAAAGAGGGGAAAAGTGCAGGAAGAACCTCAGCAAGGTATGCAAACATATCTTTACCCCTATACTGATTAGTTGGGCTGTCACTTTGAAAATGCATTTTGTGAGATGGTTCCAGTTTCTCAAGGAGGTGAGAAATCACTGGTTTTAGATGAGCCATGATTTCAGGTGGCGAGTGATCTCTGCTTGTGGAAAATGAACACATGCTTTTTTTTGCTGCTTGGGTATAACCAACTGAAATGTGGAGAGAAAATTGTTTTCTCTGGCCAGCAAAATGCATCTTCTGAATTTCCTTTGGCATTCTGGTCGACCAATTTTCAGCAAAGTCAACCCATAGGTGAAACTCATGAGAATCGAGGTTCTCCCTTTTACCCTTTAAGACATCATTTTGGTGGTTCATGAAGAACACATGTTTTAGATAATCAGCAATTTTGCTTTCCAAAAGTGTCACAACATCCATGAGTTCAGAAGTTATGTCTTCTAATACCGTAGTGGGCTTGGTACTTGATTCAAAAATAATATTTCCATCAGGGCCTTGCTTTTTCTCTGTGTATTCTACTTGTTTTGTGGCCCACTGACAATATGTTACTCTTTTTCGCAGGTCTACTTCACTATATGATGGAGATTTGAATTGGCAAATCTCACATTCCCTCAACATACAGGCAATATTAGCTGCATCACAGGTAACAGAGCTCACAAAGCTTTTTGACGATGAGTCTGACAACACCTTTTCAGTATGTAGTTTTTTCAGAAGGAATTCAAAATTTTCATGAACCTTGCACAGACAAGTGTCACTTTTATCATGTTTAGGAGGAATTATCCAAAATGGCTTTAGCCTGCAAAATACTGAGTAACTAACTTTAATACTGTTAGCTTTTAGGAACTCTTGGTGTAATTCCATCAAAGATTCACGCAAATATCTAACTTGTTTCTTTACCTTGCCTCTAGTTATAGTTTGTTTTGTTCCAGAGGTCATTTGGCTGTGTTTATCTTCTTCAAGGAAATTTATTACATCTTCAGATATTTTCTTTCTTCTAGTTCCAGCTACTGAAAGGTTATTTCTTCCTCTACTTGCTCTCTGGGGGGCGAACTTCCTTAGGTAAGATATTTTTCTGTACTTCCGAGTAATTTTACTACCATGAAATAGTTTTCTTAAATGATTCTTTTCCTTGTATCCTTTTTGAGTTTTGTAAACAGTTGCAATCTGCTTTTCTAAAACATGGTGTTCAATTAATTTATTTTTCACTCCTGTTGGTATTGCAGGGTCTTGTATCCACATGTCAAGCTGTGATGATTTCTTGGTCGTCTTTGTTTTCTTCAATAATCTATAATACCTCTTCTTAATTTTTTCGTAAAGTTTCTTTAAACGGGCATTCTCCTTCTTAAGTTTTACATTCTCCCTCATACACTTGGCTTTTCGTGCAAGGTTTTTCTTTGTCTTTTCAATTGAACTGATTCGATGTTTTAATTTTGCTATCGTAGGAGCTTCTGCCCCACTTGGAAGGGCTGATGTGCATTTCCTCTTGTGCCGCTTCCCTCCAGTTTTAAGAAAATTCTCCACCTCGACTGTAATCTTCTTTTTCCTGGATGATCTTCTCACTTCATCTGCCTAAGATATCAGGAAAGTTTTTAAGTATCATGCCAGTAATCAAACATTTTGTAATTTTTAAATAAGACTTATGTTTTTTACCTGGTTTGTTTCAGAGTTGAATAAATTAGCAACAGGCATTGTTCTCTCACCAGGTGGCGCATCATAAAAATCCACAGATGACATAGGTGAGGAACGTGACTTCTTTGCTTGCTCGTCAGTACTATGTGAAGATGTTGGCATATCCAGTGAACTCAAAGAAACTGATCTACTTAATGATAGAGTTATAGCCTTGGAAAGAGAAGGCAAGAATTAGAAAAATTTAACACTCAATTATAATATTTTAGTTGTCTTAATATTAGTTTTGTTAAATACCTTATCATCAGACTCTGATCTCAGACCAGCAGACTCATCATCAGAGTACGCAAATGACTCGGGTGAGGTGAGCGACTTCTTTGCTTGCTCGTCATTACTGTGTGAAGATGTTGGCGTATCCAGTAAACTGAAAGTATCTCTCCAGCTTGCTGACATGGTTAGAGCCTTGGAAAGAAAAGACAAGAATTAGAAAAATTTACCAAAGTATTAAGAAATTCAACCAGCATTTTAAAATTAAAATTTGATGTTGGTTTGGCTAATTACCTGGTTTGTTTCAGGATCATCAAGTGAAGGAAAGGGTGTAGAATGGGACATCAAAGCTGGTATATTTTCTGCACTGCCAGATGTTTGCCATTGTGTTGGAATGAACATGTCCTGGTTAAGAACAAAGGTGAAAAGAAAAGTAAGTATTAATCTGATGAAATATAAAACTTAGTTTTCTTACTGTTTGATAAGTTAAATTTTAATCAATTACCTGGTTTGCATCAGATGTAGAAGAGCCAGCATTACCACAAAAAGAACTGCTTGGTGTTGTAGGATCCTGGTTTGTAAAAACACAATTAAGGGAATGCAAAGTTCAAACTTATCAAAGTACAAAGTAGTTATGTCATCTTACTATATACACTGCTTCAACAGGTATTTCTTCCATAGGCTGCAAGGACCAATAAAGATATACTGAATGACAATTTGTAATCTTTTCTTTAACACGCAATATTATATTTCTCAAATTAAAATAAGTTGTACCTCATTGGCTTGGATCCGCAAACTTCTTCTCTGGGGAGCGACATTCTCTTTATCTTCCTACAATTAAGACAAAGGAGTGTTATTCTCAGTGGTATTCAATACTAGAAGCTATCATAGCATATGCGTGTAAATTAGATAATAGAATTAAGAACTCTGGTCATGGAATCTTACCCTTTTCTTCCACCTTTGCTCCCTTTTGTTATCTCTCCATTTGGCCCTTGTTTCACTCGATATGGTTTGCTTAGCGTATCTGGCCCTATCACCTTCTCTACGTTTTCGAATAAACTCTGGATCATTCTTTTTTTTAGCCCTATAATTGCGCATCTTCTCAGCATTTTTTTGCTTGCTATTCATTTTTGCAGCAGCTGCCAATATGAAAAACCAAACACCTGCCATTAATTATGCAACTATTTTTAGAGAATTTAATTATATCTTAAATCAGGGAATGTAAATTATGGTAGCCAGCATGCCTGCCCAATGAACAGGAAAAACTCACTTTCAGTCATTTGACTGTTTTTGACTGTCAAAGTGAGTCTCTTTCTGCCTAAAAATTTGACTAGCAAGTGATACTAGCTTGATGTCAAATGACTTAAAGTGAGTCTTTTGTGTTTAATGGATGTGCTGTGCTGAACAAGGTAAAATGAAATGAACGATTTATGGTTTTTATACTTTAAATATCTTACAAAACGTAACAGGTTAAGAAGCATGTGACCAGGGACAGACTTCTTTGTCAGTTCAGAAATTGACAAACTAAAGATAAGTGATATACTGTGTTTCCAAAGAAGGCCCTCTCTCAAGGTTTCCTCATACTGTAGTGCAAACTATTATGAAAATTACAAATAGACAAAACTTACCCACACGGCGAGAGAAAAGGAACATCAACGGCTGCGGCTGCGTTGTGATTTGAACATCGCCCACTATTCCTCCCTCGCTTATGATTGGTCGACGCCCGGACCACCAGGTGGCGCCATCTCTTGATAGTTGTCACAGTTGCACGGCGTGAGAAGTGGTTCGTGTTATGGTCGCTAGACTGGCGCTGTTTGTACAGCGGACTGTGGGGAGAGGGCGACTTAAATATGCAACTGTATTATTCGTGTGAGTGTGACTTCTCTAAAACTGTATGTCCTCCCTGTAACCATCCACGCCTTCCGAGTGCCTCCTTAACCCCACTTTCTCAATTAGTGTCCTCCCTGTAACCCGATGACCTGTTTTAACCACCCACGTCCCCCGTGTACCGTGTTTACTCTCCAATGTCCTCTGTGTAGCCAAAATGTCCTTCTTGTACCCAAAATGTCCTTCTTGTAACCAAAATGTCCTCCCTGCACCGTTTCTCCTTCCCTTCACCCGCCAGTGTCCTCCGTGTAACCCCAATGTCCTCTGTGTAACCTCCTTGTCCCCCATGTAACCACATGTGTCCTTCCTGTAACCTTCTGTCCTTTCCTTCCCCCATCGGTGTCCTCCATGTAACCCCTTCTCATTTCCCTGGCGCCCGGCCCCCGCTACTTTGCCACTCTTACACCCCCCCCCCTCCCCCCTAAGGGCGTCCTCCCGGCCTTTCCGGGTCGTTTTTCAACTTAGTACGCTCAGATAATAGCAATTTTATCAGGTTTAAACATGTTCGGGGCTTGAAAATCGAGTTGGTTCTTTTAGAGTATGGTTTGAAGAAACAGTTTTGGCCAATGGCGAATCTCTTGACCGCCTACGCGGTTTTTAAACTCAATTTATGTCTTTGAAACTGGAAAAACACAAAACTAAGGGACAGACATTCAAAACGTCATTACTCAGCCAATTTTCGGAATATTTTGACGTTCTTTACAGCAAATTAATCACTGAACAGTTCTACATCGAATACATTTCGAGGTTTAGACTTTTTGAACCTTTGCTTCATTATATTGTCGATTACAAGTTAAAAATTGGGCCCAGGGACACGCCAAAACTCGTGAATTTTGGCTCATTTGTCCTCCCTGTAACCCACTGGTGGCATATTTCGTGAAGCCAAGTTGCAGCCCAGGTTTATCTCGATGTAATGTATAGATTTTGGCCCCGAATGGTGGTGTCGTGTCTCTCCTTTTTGAATAAAGTGCCAGGGACTGAAATGTTGCACTTTTTTGAGAATGGCCCGCAGCCGCCGGTGGCGGTGCAGCCGCCGGTGGCGGTGCAGCCGCCGGTGGCGGTGCAGCCGCCGGTGGCGGTGCAGCCGCCGGTGGCGGTGCAGCCGCCGGTGGAGTCGCGGGTGTGTAATGTTAGGCCCCTCGTCACGTAGGATAAGTTCGCTCGAGATCGTTCGACTGTAACCTGTTAAGTTTTTATTCTGGTTTCCATATTGTTGTATTTAATTCCGGGACCGTGTTTTCGATCTCGAGCAAACTCACCTATGCGTGTAACACGTCGCTCATCCGTCGTGAGCTCACGTGGAGCTGTTAACGCTGCAGTTGCCGCGGGTGGAGCCCCTGACGTCGTCGGCCCTGGCGCGGGTGGACTCGCTCAGGCCTTCGTTGGAGCTGTCGCGGGTGGCCCCGAATACCACGTAGATGGACAACATATGGGTTTAGATTATCTACCACCACCCCTAGTTGGCCTGCAGCAGTGGCAATACCAACCGCCTGACAGTGTGTACATTGACCTTCACTAGTCCTTATATTTTCAATTTGTGACAAGACTGATTTATTTATTTCGGTTTAAATTGTTATATCGCAAGTTACTTTATGTTTGTTTTTGAAAGCATGTCCATGCTTCGGCTGTGATAATATGTTAATTTTGTGACTGTTTTGTAAATATTACGCCTGTCCGAAAGGTATGAAATCTATTAAATTTTGAATGGATAGTAAATTTATTTGTGTCTGCTTATTAACGGTGCCCATTCCCGGTAGACAGGCGCTGTCACGCAGGCAAACTGCCCTCACCTGCCGCAATTTTGACGGGGGCGGGGAGGAAATGGGGAGACAGGGGTACTTTTTACGATGGCTAGAGAGGGTCTCCAGAATGTCTCAAAGCGGGCTCCGCCACGCCTCGAGGGCCCCTGCACTGGGCTACGGGCCGTCTCCGCGTTGTCTCCAAACTGTTCCCACGCGATCTCCCTATGGTATCCAATCGATCTCGCCGGTGTCTCGTGGGAGTTCCAGGGAGCGCCGAGAACTCCCAGTGGGTGGCTCTGCGTCGTCTCACTGGCGGCTCCATTCGGTCTCCAGCGGTTGTCTCGATTCTGACTCGAAAATATCTCCAAAACGAGACATAATGCAGACGCAGTCGAGGCGTTCTGCCCACCTCGAGAATGTCTCGAGGGCACCTCAATAACAACTGCATAACGTCTCATACATCGCCTCGAAACTGTCTCGAGAAAACCTCTGCGGTCTCTCCTCAATGACTCGTAGGTAACTCACCCCGAGACGCTCACGATCTAAATTTTTCTGTACGGGATTCCAGGACCGACCTGACGGACTGCCTAAACTAGCGAAACTGGCTCTCAGAGAGTTGGGTCAGCTAGCAACAGCCACTCCCAGTGAGCGCGTATGGTCGAAGGCAGGGTTTGTCCTGAACAAGAGGCGTAACAGATTGTCTCCCAAGCACTTGAACTCCATCATTTTTCTGGGGTCGTATCTCAAAAATAAAAATAAAAAATAAATAAATTACGAGTTGTTAAAGACAGTTTTTTTTTTTGTTTTGCACATGACAAATTGTTTTCGAACTCATTTTCCTCACGTACTACATTAAAATATTGTTTTTTCTCAATGGCCTATCCCGATGTGTTATCACGCGTCCAGTACCTAATTCGAATGAAGCGCGCGCGCTAGTTCAGAGGCTGAGGCGCCGAGCCATGCCGAGCCGGGCCGGGCGAGGGCAAGGAACACTACGCCACTCCATCTCCTGTCGATCTGAGGCCGACAGTGGCGGGCGGAGCGGGTGCTGAGCCTACCCGTCTGTGGACCGGGCCGGGCCGCCGCCCCGCCCGGCTAGTGAGGGCCGGGTCGGGCGGGGCGCTCTGGCAACAGAGAGCCAGGCGGCAGCGGGCGGAGCGCGCCCACCCGTCTGAGAACTCTGTTAGGGAGAACGCGATGATGTTTTGAGAACATTGCTTCATTTTCCTATCCAACGTCGCTCAAAAAAGCGAGTGGGCCAACTCTTCTCTGTACAAAAGGAAGTGTAATCCCAATGTAATCCGTGTAATACTTAAGCTAATTTTGAAAAATACTACTGAACCTAATTACTGAAATTTAAGGGTTTTAGCTACAGAACACTGTCAGAAAAAATCTGGGATTTCACGGCGGAACATTCGTAAAAATTTTGCCAAAGTCCTTTCGGTAGCTTCGAAACACACACACGACTAAAAAATTGCTACCTTTAACAGGTGTTTTACGACGGAACAAGCAGGCCCGCCCTTCCACCAACCCTCCGTTCCGCAGGGGCCGCTTGGACTGCCGGCGGCGATGGTCGGGCCTCCGGAACGACCATTTCTGTCACACGATTTCAGAACATAATCGAATGGTGTAACGGGCCTTCGGCCTGCTAAAACCTATCGTCTTTAAAATTTGCCCCGTAGACATGAGAAAGGGATGTAACGGCTATTGCGGCTATGAAGCACCGCGACTCCGACTACAACCCACCCTTATGCTTAAGTTAGTTTTTGGAGGGGTGGGGAAAAGTTTCATTCCTATTTTGCGATTTGATGGCTTCTTCTACAACTCACAGTTCACTATAGCAATTTTGAGCTTATTTGCGTCAAAAAAGACCCTCCAGTTCCTAAACGGTAAGAGATAGAGCCAAACGGAGCCACATGTAATCCCTATAATTGCGTGGGTACATCGTAAATTTAAGGGGTTGGCCCCCTCGCTCAAATATGCTCTATATGGAGCGATGATCTAAAACCATTCCTCACATGGTTTAATGTTTTATAGTTAACATTTACGTGGAACGACTAAAACGATTATCTCTCTAACTGGGCAACGATAAAATTCGCCAATCTTTGGAAACGAGACGAGACACGTCACTCCGGTATATCCAGTAGATACGCGTCTGAGTTTACAGCATGCGCGCATATTAAGGGGTGAGGGCGGGGGGATCGTCCCCCTGTCGGCCCTAGATAGCCGCCTGAAAGGTAGGCAATTGTCAATTTCAGCCACAAGAACCCTGAATAAAGGCAACTTGCTTACCGCCCCCCTGTCAGCCGGTCCTTTTCTCCCTAACCGCATCGAGGATTTGATTTCAGATTCCAATTGTGCCTACCCACGTTTTTCGACCCGGTTTTGCTAGCACTAATTAGGACACTAGTACAGTTCGAAAGCACTAATTGAGCACTAAAGGATGAGCTGCAGCACAAATTTCTAGCGTGAATGGGCGGTGCTGGTCAACGCGGGTTGCCTACCCACCACTTCGCAGGCGCGATGCCGGTTTTGACCCCAGATTTAGGGGCTAAGGATGTGAGCACTAATTTTGTTGAGTTGATATCTGAAGAGCACTAACTCTCCCGGTTAGAATGGTCTTAGTCTCGGCATTTTGGGATGAGTGGGCGGTGCAGCGTAAAGCTGACACCGCCCATATTTACCTTTGTTTTTTACGGTAGGCTTCGTAGCACTAATTGTGACAATAGGACAGCTCGAAAGCACTAGTTGAGCACTAAAAGATGAGCTGCAGCACTAATTTCTAGCTTCAGTGGGCGGTGCTGGTCGAAGCGGGTTGCCTACCCACTACTTCGGAGGCGCGATGCTGGTTTTGACCCCAGATTTAGGGGCTAAGGATGTGAGCACTAATTTTGTTGAGTTGATATCTGAAGAGCACTAATTCTCCGGTTAGAATGGTCGTAGTCTCGGCCCCGTGAGATAAATGGGCGGTGCAGCGTGAAGCTGGCACCGCCCACGTTCTTAGCCGTTTTTGACGATAGCCCTAACAGCACTAATTCTAAAAATAGGACAGTCCGAAAGCACTAATTGAGCACTAAAAGATAAGCGGTAGCACTAATTTCTAGCGTAACTGGGCGATGCTCGCGTGATGCTGGCACCGCCGACATTCTTAATCGTTTTGGACGCTAGCCTTTGTAGCACTAATTCTAAAAATAGGACCGTTCGAAAGCACTAATTGAGCACTAAATGATGAGAGGTAGCACTAATTTCCATCGGCTATGGGCGGTGCCAACTTAAGGGGGCATCCTAGTGTAGCATGCCCAAAAATACGTGTTTTTCGCGATTTTTTAAAAATGGAAGCAAGTGGGGGGAAACTAAGTTGAGGGGGTAAAAGTACGTAACTTTCTGTGTCCAAAACTGCCAAGAAGTTGCCCGAACTCCCACGCATGCCGGAGAAACGGCCCACCAACAAACATGTGTCGCAAAAGTCGTTGTCGCACTGCGTACACGATATCTGCCGAACGAATTGTCCGATCGGGTTCAAATTTTTTGTGTGAGCTCTCAGATAGTGTGGCTATCGCATGAACCTCCAGTTTTGAGCTCGGGCAACTAGAACCTTATAAAAAAAAATCGCAAAGTTAAAATTTTACCCTAATTTTAGAAAACTAAAGGTTTAGAGTATTCAAAAAAATAGTAAAAATCATTTGTTTCCAAAGTTGGAGGTTCATGCGATAGCGGCAAGTGTAAACAACACGCAGACACATGAGTTGGCCCGATCGGACCATTTGAAGGTTAGTTATCGTGTACGCAGTGCGACAACGACACTCGCGACACATGTTTGTTGGTGGGCCGTTTCTCCGGCATGCGTGGGAGTTCGGGCAACTTCTTGGCAGTTTTGGACACAGAAAGTTACGTACTTTTACCCCCTCAACTTAGTTTCCCCCCACTTGCTTCCATTTTTTAAAAGAAAATCGCGAAAAACACGTATTTTTGGGCCTGCTACACTAGGATGCCCCCTTAAGAGTCGGCGCGTATGCGAAAATACCTCCACACCAAAAACCTCCACTGTGGAGGTGAAATCGAGGGGGTCACCACTCGCGTAATCCTGTGTACAGATGAGGGTGTAATCCCTACGTAATCCGTATCTATTCCGTGTAATCCTTGTCCAAATTTTAAAAAATTATCACTAAATTTTACTTTATTGTCCAAATTTGATTGTTTTAGAGCCTAAAATTCAACGTAACTCACGTGTAATCACTCAAAATTGACGTGTAATCCCTGAAATCACGTAATCCTGTGTACATCCTCAATCGAAGTGGTGGCCCCCTCGGGTGAAATGCTGTCCGGTGCACTAGTGCAAAAATTTATCCACAGCGTGCATCAGAATTTTCTCCACATCGATAGAATTCCTTTTCTCCTTCCCCGGGGTGACGCCAGCCGTTCCCTAAGGGATCGTCCAGCAAGTACGTCGAGCCAGGCGCGCGGATTATGGGTGGGGGTGGGAGGGCGATCGCCCCCTCTGTCGTCTCTCGAGAGCCGCCTGAAAGGTAGGCAATTTGCGCCTCAAAACCTCCGTAGGCAACCGACAATGCATCGCCCCCTCTGTCAGCCGGGCCTTTATCCGCTCCTGCGTCGAGCTCGGCCCCTGTTGCCTACCGATCAGGCGCCACGGGCACTTTCGCAGGGGCGTGTAAAGGTAAATACGCGTGAGCGTTCACGTGAAGTGAGCGCTCACGTAAGAGATGTGCGGTGCCTTATAGTAAGCGATATTGCCAATATTTTTGAAGAATTACAATCTCCGTACTCTCTTCTTTCCAAAAATGTATAGTTTTGTCAATTTTCAGGTCATTTGGCTTAGTATAAGTTCGGCACGCCTGAGCGCTCACGTATGAGATGAGCGTCGGATTGCGAAAGGAGAGGGGCTCTATACTAAGCCAAATGACCTGAAAATTGACAAACCCATACATTTTTGCAAAGAGGAGAGTACGGAGATCGTAATTCTTCAAAAATATTGGCAAATTTCGCTTATTATAAGGTGCCGCACATCTCTCACGTCAGCGCTCACTTCACGTGAACGCTCACGCGTACTTAACTTTATACGCCCCAGGTATCGGCGAATGACATGACGGGAGTACTGTACTTTCTGAATCATCCCTCACTCCCCGAGCTATGCGACATCCACTTAATAAAGGTGCTTCGCGGGTTGGCCGATTCTCCACTTTGCAGGCGCGAGTAGAAACCTTTGGGAGCACTGTCATAGCAAGGATTCAAATAATCACACCTCAGACCGATGCGCCCTAACAAAAGAGTCCGATCTGCTTTGCTGCTGAACCAAAAGAGTTCGATCTGCTTGGCTGCCAAACCAAAAGAGTCCGATCTGCTTTGCTGCCGAACCAAAAGAGTTCGATCTGCTTTTCTGCCTTGGAAAGTCAGGCATCTTTGGAGGGCTATAACTCCTCGTATATTTTGAATATACGCAACATAAAAAGACTATAGCCTGTTACCCTGTCCTTTACGAATGTGTACACCCTAAAACATATACCCTTTCGCTTCACAAGCTTCGAGATATCATAGAGTTTATGCGGAGCGGTCGACGAGCGCCGAAAGCAGATCGAACTCTTTTGGTTTGGCAGCGAAGCAGATCGGGCTCTTTTGGTTTGGCAGCGAAGCAGATCGCACTCTTTTGGTTCAGCAGCAAAGCAGATCGGACTCTTTTGGTTTGGCAGCCAAGCAGATCGTTTTGAGAAAGATTGCCGGTTCTCGTTGCGTTATAATATTATATTTTGAGATGCTATGGGGGGGAGGCTTTCCGTCCGTGTCCGTTTGTCCGTGCCAAGCCCGGCGGCAGTCCCCTGCCATCACTCTGCTGGAGTTGCACTGGAAAAACTAATGTCACCAACGTTACGTTTCTTGACGCAACCAAACCAGGTCGATGTAACGTTTGGTGATGCAACCAGTTTGTGATGGCCCTATCCTTTTGCATGGGGTTGGTTGCATCAGGAAACGTTACCGGGTTTGGTCACATGATGAAACGTTTCCGCGGTAACATTAGTATATTTCTAGTGTGTAAACATAATTTACTGCATTTGCTTCGCGCCGCGCCCTGCACCGGGTCATAATGAGCCGCCCGACCCTCACTTGAACCTCTTGAGTAATGCAGCCGCAGCGCTTCCTCTCTCGGGAGGTAACCTGGTGGACGAGAATCCGAACCACCAGGAAAAAAAATCTCGCGCCCCGCGCCCCGACCCCTGCCCTCTTAAAGCGCAATCGACAACGGGCCCCACATTGCCCGTACACTTGACAAGTGATCCCGAGTCTCAAATTATAAATTTGAACCACAGCGCTCTGAAATATGAAATGTGCTAGTTTTAGCGCAGTAAAATTACGAAATAGGCAAAATTTGAATGCTGGTTCTAGCATCATTTTCTTTCTTTTGTTGTCTAAATTTATCTATTAGACAATAAACAGTCCCTGTCTGTACCCGTTTTTTAGCCCGCCCTTCTGCTTTGAAAAAGCTATCCAGCGGGCTTATGCAAACGACCCCGTGTCTGTCTGTCTGTCTGTCTGTGTGTCTGTCTGTTCCACTAGAAGGAGATGTGCTAGCGACTTGAAATTTTCAGGGTATCTTAAGGTCCACTCCTAGAGAACGAAACGCATACGGCAAATCCTGGCAACCACCCCTAAGGGTGTGAATAGGGGTAAGGTAGAAAAATTCTCCCTAAAAGCAGTATTTTAACTCGTGAAAGTAGAGGCCTCTGGCTGAAAATTTCGCTCGTTTCGCTCTATCTCTAACCATTTAGGCGCTCGAGGGTCTCTTTTGACGGAAATAAGCTAAAAATTGCCATAGTGAACAATAAGTTGTAGAAACGGGTCTACAAACCGCAAAATAGAGAGGAAACTCTCCCCCCTCCCCCAAAAAACGTTCTCTAAGCAGAAGGGTGGGTTGTAGTCGCGGTGCTTCACAGTTACATCCCTTTCTCGAGTCTTTGGGGCAAACTCAAAGACGACGGGTTTAAGCGGGCCGAAGGCCCGCTACATCATTCGATCATGTTCTTCAGCAAATCGTGTGACAGATATGGTCGGGCCGCAGGCCCGACCATCGCCGCCGGCCCGACCATCGCCGCCGGCAGGCCAAGCAGGCCCGGTCCCTGCTGAACGGAGTTGCCGGCGCAGCGAAGCGGAGCTGGCAACTTCGTTTGGCGGAAGGGCGGGCCTGCTTGTTGATAAAGGGTGCCGTTGCTGATATTGCCGATTAACGTTCCAATTTTGATAAGCAGATTTTCAGTCATATTTTGATACCTAATTGAATTTAAAATATTTTGAATTTGCTTTTGGAGCTGGACTGTCTCGTTACCGGCCAGCAGGCCAGTTTTTCGTCTAACGTCTCCCTTGATTATATTTTTTTTTTTTTAAGGATGTCTACCTCGCCGAAAAACAAGTACAAATACCAAGATAAAGAAGAAAAGCTGATAATTGAGAAAATCAAAAAACATATAGAAATCTATAGAAATGACCCTAAACCTATTTTCGACGAACTCCAAGAGCTGGTAAGTTTTCAGTATTTATCTCATAGGGAAAGAACAAAAAAAAGCATTATTTTCATTACACTATTTTGTTTTACCCGGCTATATTATTCGCTCAGTTTTGTTTACCACATCTTTTTTTATCTAGCATTTCCCAAATCGGTCGGCTAACGCCATCAGAAAAAAGTTCGAAAGACTTGCCACCGACGATAAGCGTTTAAAGGCCTTAGGGTATAAGGAGGAGGACGTGCAGCTATTAAGAAGGTGTGTTAAACTTTCTCTTCTCCCATGTAGCTTTATTTTGCACAAATGCTTTTAATTGTGGTGCTAATTTATTTTAAATTTTATTTGGAGCCTTGTTAAGAAGTCCACGCCAACAGATGGAGATGGAGATTCGGATGCAGAGGTAAATATCTTACTTTGATACTTACATACATATTAAAGTGCAAGTAAAGTGTTGCAGTTGGTTGGTATTTTTTTCTGTTTGCTGCATTCTGATATTAATTTCTGTTACCCAGGAGGTGGAAGGGCTAGTCATTATGAATGAAGAAGGATCTAAAATAATAAGAAAATTCTTCTACCAAAATAAATGTTTGAAGCAAGAGTTGGAGGTGGTAAGGGGAAGGTGTGCAGAGGCGGAGAGGGTGAGAGAGGCGGCAGAGGAAAGGTGTAAGCAGGCGATGGTGCAGAGAAATGAATCGAGGAAGCGGAGACAGGAGGCAGAAGAGAAGAGGGTGGAGGAGGTGGTGGAGCAGGCGAGACGAGCCAGCAAATATAAGAAAAAGGCCGAGGAGTTGGAGGAGCAAGTGAAGTTATTGATTGTGGAAAAAGAAAAGGCGAAAGAAGAGGAAAGGAAATTGAAGAGGGTAATAGAGGAGAAGAAAGAAGAGGAAAGGAAATGGCAGAGGGAAAGAGATAGGAAGAAGAAAGAGGAAGAGAAATTGAAGAAGGAAATGGATGAATTAAAAGAAGAGTTGGAAAAAAAAAAGAAGAGTTAAGTCAAGAAAAAATTGAGAGTGAAAGATTTAGACGTTTATATGCATGTATAGACAAGGGAATGAAAGAAGTGCATGTCCCAGTACTTCAAGCAAAACTACCAGGGCCCCTACAGCTTGAAGTTCCACACAAGCGCAGAAAATAGCTACTCGTTTCAATGTCTAAGAAAAATTTCAGAACTACTGCCTACCCTGGGTCAACATATGTCAAGTTAAATAACTTCTGTTGAAGTAAGTAATCATTTCATTGAGACAGCATTGTACGGTTCAATTCAATTCATTGTCAATAATACTATTCATTGACAATAATACTATGTTGAAGGAAGGTTGATAGTAGGTTTAGAAGCAGTTACCGGCGTGTAACAGCATTTTAACCGCTTCTGAACACACTTTCCGCATAGTGTTGTGCGTACAAAGTATGTTACTGCAACGTGTTATAAACAGCTTTTTCCTCGTGTGCCGTAACCGACTGTCAACCGCTGCTCAACCGAGTATGGTGCGTTGAAAGTCGGTTACCGAAACCTGTTCTCAACCGCTTTTCCTTCCGCCCTGCAACCGATTCTCAACACACTTACAACCAAGTATTGTGCGTATTAAGTCGGTTACTGCAACCTGTTCTCAGCCGCTTTTACTTCTGCCCTGTAACCGATTCTCAACAGACTTACAACCGAGTATTGTGCGTTGAAAGTCGGTTACTAAACCTGTTCTCAGCCCTCGTCTCAGCCGCTTTTCCTTCCGCCCTGTAACCGATTCTCAACACACTTACAACCGAGTATTGTGCGTATTAAGTCGGTTACCAAAACCTGTTCTAAACCGCTTTTTCTTTCGACCTGTTACCGTATCTGAATCGCTTTTCAACCTAGAATTGTTAGTTTCAAGTCCGTTATAATGCCCCCCACCAACCGTCTTTTTCATTCCCGCCGTTTTAACACGTTGCTCGGCGGCTCCCCCGCGCCCCCCTCACCTAGGACTCAGTGCGCGCGGGGTGGCGTCGGCAGCACCCGAGCGGACAGGATGCAAGGCCTGGGCGCTCGGTACGGACTTCGCCACCGCCAGCACGACGAAGACGGCGGCGAGCCGGCGAGCCAAGCTGGAGGAGAAGCGAGCGGGCGCAGGTAGTGGCCCTCCTGTGAGAGGTACGCAGAGCTGGCGGCTGGTGTTCCATGGGGCTGGAGACCCCCTGTGCGAGACTAGGACTAGCAGAAAGCGCGCGATAGCTCTGCGCTTGGTAATCGTTGTTATCAACAGATTTTGGCTAAAAGCGGGCGAGTTATATAATTTATGAGCTCCTGCAAGTCTCACATTTAAAATGAGTCATGTCTCGCGGCGGTGCGAAGAGAATTGTGAAAGAAATTAATATCTGAAAACTCGAGGTGGAGCGAGGGAGGTTATGGCCGCTTCTAGCCTCGCACAGGGTGATTTTGGGGTATGGCCGCGCCCGTGGAACACCAAAGCGCTGTGATTGGCTGCCGCTCGACTGCTCTGCGTACCTCTCACAGGAGGACCACTAGGCGCAGGTCAGCAACGACAGTTCGGTTTGAGACCCGAGTTGGGCCGCTACGTGACATCGCCGGCAAACCGCGCGGCCCCACTGATCTCGCGACCTCTGCGCACATGCGAATGAGAGAGAGAGGTGCCAAAAGCAGAGAGTTGTGTGTGTCTGCCCCCTAGCCAGCGGCCCGGCGACCTCACCTGTATCTTTGTGTCTTTTAGCAAATAGTATCTGCTCAGCCTAATCAATCTCCTTTTCCCTCCAGATCACGCAATCGTCCAGCTTACGAACACTTTAATGTGCAAGGAAAAAGCCACGAAACCATACGTCCGTTATTTTACTGTAAATTTGTCCGAATTATATTATGCTCATACTCGACGTATTGTCATTATGCGCATCCCAAACCTCCTATTCAGGGACAGTCCCCCGGAAAATTATGGACGCGCCCCGGAGTTGTAACGGACTCTCAACACATTATCCACCGACTTTAAACACACTTTAAACCAATATTTTCAATGAGCGGTAACTGACCCAAAACACACTTTCAACCGATTACTTTGGGGATCGGTAACCGACTCTCAACACACTTACAACTCAATTCTTTGAAAAGTGGAAACTGACTTTCAACACACTGTTAACAGACTTTAGCAGGTCACGGAAACAGTATCTCAACCTACTCTGAACTCTTTTGTAACCTATTCTCAAGCGACTAAGCGTTCGAAATAACATACTCCCAACCTACTATAAATGGTTTAAAAGCTGTTGCGAAACACATTTTTAACTGATATTTCTCTGTTTCTGTAACCGACTTTCACCCCAAAAGATACCGCCTGGATTGCCGATTAACGTTCCAATTTTGATAAGCAGATTTTCAGTCATATTTTGATACCTAATTGAATTTAAAAATACAAGCCTTAGCGCCTGTATAT